AAAGAACTACTGAAAATAAAAAAGCTCTCATGGAAAAATATGAAATTCGCTTGAAGCGTATCGAATATCTGAAGCAAATTATGAAATATAGAGCTGAGAACAGGAACATAATTTATACGGATGTAACATATATACATTCTAGTCATACCCCAAAAAAAGGATGGTCAGATGACAATTATGACAAGGAACTAAAAACGCCTTTATCAAAAGGACAACGAATGATTATTGTGCATGCTGGTGGAGAATTCGGCTTTATTCCTAACGCCTTGTTGATATTTAAATCAGGTATTATTTGTGTTACAATGATGTAAAATATTTCCAATATATTTTTACATTTACTGGAATATATGTATGTATTTTATTTTCAGGCTCAAAATCTGGGGACTACCACAACGACATTAATCATTTGAACTTCATGAAATGGGTAGAAAGCCAATTGATCCCAAATTTGCCTGAAAATTCTGTGCTTGTAGTTGACAACGCTTCTTATCACAATGTCCTGGAAGAAAAAAATGTAACCTCTTCTAGTCTGAAATCAGAGATGATTGACTGGCTAGAAAAACATCAAATTCCTAGTGAAAACTCATTGACTAAGGCTGAACTATATAAAAAAATACAGGAAAATTTCCAGTCAAATACAAGCTAGATGCCTTAATGGAACAGCACGGGCATAAAGTTTTACGACTGCCTCCATATCATCCGGGGCTAAACCCAATCGAGAAGATTTGGGCTCTCGTAAAAAACTGGGTTGCTCCACGAAATGTGACATTTAGGTTGTCTGATGTGGAGCATCTGACCCGTAGCAGGTTTGAAGAAATTGGAGCAGATGAGTGGAAGAAAATTTGTAACCACGTGAAAAAATATGAGCAAGCACAAATGGAAAAAGAAAATCGTCTCGACGATCAAATGGATAAGTATCAGTTCACTGTGAACACAGGGTCATCATCAGAAGATAGTGACGAAAGCGACTCAGATGAAGATTTGGAGCTAAACACACTATCATCTGATAGCGATTAGATTTTTTAATGATAATATATAATTTGAATTATAACCGTCTTTAGTTTGCTCCCTCTTCTAATTCAAATTTGCTTCCGAACAACTTAATGCGCATACTAAATAATATAATAATACAAAAATCAATTAATGATCAATGTCTACACAACCTATTCACTTTATTTTATACTTCAAATAAAATAGAACGCCACTGCGCTCTATCGACGACCGCGTGATGAGCGGACCCGCCCACGATGACGTAGCGGTCATATTCTAAGAGCGTTCGAACTCTACCGTACCTCCGAACAATTCTCGTGTGTCAGATCATTTTAGATAGCAAAAAGTAAGAGACCTAAAAATATTTATAGTATCTTTCTTCTTAGTGGATATACGTCTGCAGTTCCTTTGAGCGAAAAACATCGATATTTTTCTTGTACGAGTATACAGTAATATTTTTGACAATTAAAATGGTGTATACATTATGTTACACTCAAAGCTCGTAACTGGTCAAATCCATTTTTGACTGCAAATAACAGTCATGAATGTTTTTGACCCATGCCCTTAGTCAAAAACAGTTTTCTCGATTTTAAGTCAAGTTTGAACTCTTTGTCCAAGAATAGATTGAAATTGTACGAGACCTGCAACCTAACTAATACATTCCACTTCTCTTTTATCTAATCTGTTTTATTTTATGACGACAATCTTAATAATTAAGTAAAATATTAATTTCCTTTCTCTAAACGTTATAGTGGTAAACATTACGGTAAATTTTCCGATTAGTATGCTCAGTCATAAGCAGTTTTGATTCACTTGTGTGGCTAAAACCACTTTTGAACGATACAATTTAGCCAAATTCATTGCAATATTTCTAAAGTTAAAAGTGGTTTCGACCAACTTTCATTAGTTAAAACTAGTTAAGGCTTGGGCAGTTAACGAACCTTTTTCGATTTAAGTTTCTCAGTAAACAGTGATTTTTGGCAAAAGAGATGGCATGGACTTTTTAAGATGGCGATATACTCTTAAAACCAAATACGCCTGACGTGGTAATGTGTACGAGAGAGAAGCGCAAGAACCATACAGTACGAGTGATACTAAGAGATAGAAGCATCATATTACGATGTCAGCCAAATTTGGGCCTCACCATATACTTCTGGTAACCTGAATCATGCAAATTTTGATAAAAGCCATGGCACATAAAGAGGAAAAAGTTACATAATAAGATTTGTTGAGCCGCGTTACGAGAGAGGAAGCATCGAAGACAATTTAGAACACTAGCTGTAGGAAATAACTAAACGTGGTAGATAGTACGACGACACAGAAAGGTGCTCTCCGCCAATGGGGAGCATCGAGGACTCCCAATTAGGGGCTGTACAATGGGAACTTATTCTATCCCGACTGGCCGATCAGGCCTTTCGTTCGTTGTATGGGAACTGTGGCAGTGTTTGTCGGCACCCGAAGGCGGTCCTTTTGCGGTACGGCAGCATTCTTGTTCGGCTTGGACTCCGGACTCGACGATGATTCTGCACTTATTGCGTCGCGCCACCACACGGCAGACAACAATCGGGCGGCCAGCCGGCCACTGAGAGGCCTCCCTCGATTATTTTGGGTAAAGCTGGCCATGGTCCGCACTACTGTCTGATTTTCGTTCTTTGTTTGTTAGAACCATGTTATAAACATGCTGAATTCGTCCGTCCGATTAAAGTCAGCCAACCATGGACAGCTGTTTGGTGCTTTTTGGCCAGTCCTCGCCATGGTCTAGGCTTGGGTATCTCGGGCAACGAACGAAAGCATACCAGCTATCCAATTTATCAAGATAAAAAATGCGAAGCGCCATGAACCACTAGAATCGGCCACTATACTACTAATACTAACAATGATATCGTTAGCGAGGTGATCACATTTGACATTTGATGGTATGAAGAAGGTTTTGAAAAAACCAAGTTACTTTTCACTGAAGTTTTCTAAATTGTTGTAACTGATTCTCAGCATCTAGAAAGAAACGGAGAACGGAGTTTCTTTCATCGACAATGGCACCTCATAATCACAACCTCCTATGTTTTATATGATACAGATGGTGTTAACATAAAGGTTCATGTACTGGAAAATAATATACTGAAACTTTTCGATATTCATGCTCCTAAGCTATCAGATGCACTAAGCCAGCTCCACCATGGCTTACCAACGTAATAGAGATCTTGTAAAGAATCAGAGTCAGAGCTTTACTCATGTTAAGAACGAATAGAACTACTGCTAACTGGTAATTTTACAAAAATATGAGGAATCAGACAACTCGTGCCATTGAACGAGAAAAAAAGCTTATCTTGAATTCAAGTTGAAAAACTGTTCCAGCTGATCATCTTCTACAGAAATATGAAAACAATGCTCTTTTTCCGGGTAATTTTTCATTCCAACCAGTTGAAGATAATATAGCTCTTAATACATTGAGAGAAATCAAAAGAACGTCGACTGGTAACGATGATTTAAATATACCTACTAAGTGACATATAAATCCGAACATACAGTTTAAATGGTTTTATTTTAATAAAAGTTGGTGAATGTATTTATCTTACTGTAAATAACAAGTGAAAAAATTTTCAGCCTTATCAGTTGGACATTCCGGTTTTTATACTGCTTTTTTTTTATTCACTAACGCTCTAAAAATGAATATTTCAGCCGCAATAAAGAATCAACGTTGGCGGATTTTGGTTCTTGACATCCTTTACGATCGGTTACGATGCCTAGAGTACGGAGACCTGTACGATTTCGTCAACTTAGTGAGTTTGATAGGGGCCGTATAGTGGGACTTCGGGAAGCTGGACTTTCTTTTCGGGCAATTGCAGTTAGAGTGCAAAGAAGTATAGACACTGTGGTTAGGTGTTGTCAGGCATGGCTTCGAGAAGGCCGTACGCAAAGAGCAAGGGGCACTGGACGCCGCCGTAGAACAACAGACCGTGAAGATCGCCGCCTAAGATTATTGGCCTTAAGGGACCGTTTCTCCACTACCAGGTCCAGTGCAAATGAATGGTTTGCAGAACACGGAAGACCTATTGGCATGCGAAGTGTTTACCGACGAATGAGAAGTTTTGGCTTGTTTTCATACCGGCCACACTGGGTCCTCCCTTTAACTCGAGAACACCGACATAATCGCCTTGAGTGGTGCAGACAACGGTCACTCTGGGATCAGGAATGGAACAGTATTGTCTTTAGTGACGAGTCTCGATTTTGTTTAGGCATGCACGATGGTCGTGCCAGGGTTAGAAGGCGACGTGGTGAAAGGAGCAATCCACAGTTTTTTTGTTGAAAGACATGTTCATCACACTGTTGGAGTTATGGTTTGGGGTGCTATAGCTTATGGTTCCAGGTCACCTTTAATCTTCATCAGAGGTAACATGAACGCGCAGCGTTATATCCACGAAGTTCTAGAACCCCATCTTTTACCCTATCTTGACACCCTGGCAGATCCAACTTACCAACAAGATAATGCCCGACCACATGTTGCAAGAGTCACAATAGACTTCTTTCAACATAATAATGTCACATTGTTACCATGGCCACCAAGATCTCCCGACTTATCCCCAATTGAGCACGTGTGGGATATGATGGGTAGGAGATTGCTCAATTTGCAACGTCCTCCTCAGACTCTAGAAGCACTTCGAGAGGAGTTGGTGGTTGCCTTGAATGAGATATCACAGGAGGACATTGACCACCTGATCAGAAGCATGCCTAGGCGCGTTGGAGAATGCGTAGCACATCAGGGTGCATCCACACATTATTAAATGTCAAAGGGCTTTAAAGCAGTGCAATCATTTTGAAATTTTTATCATTTACTTATTATGCTTCATTAAGTACTTATACAAAATTTTATTAAAATAAAACCATTTAAACTGGGTGTTCGGATTTATATGTCACTTAGTATATTATAGTGATTGAGCTTTGCTTTCTTCGTATCTTGCCTTTTTTAAGCGCGTACGGAATTTTTGTCTAATTAATTCGGTATATCCGTCCAGCTGGAAAAAGGCAATGGTAGTCCCGCTACCAAAAAAATTAAAGGCGGAAGAATTCAAAGACTTACGTGCAAAAAGCATTCTACCGGCATTTTGAAATTTCTGGAGAAGATTATTGCGATGCAGTTGACAGAATATAAAGAGGCTAAAGTGGTTTTACCAGATATTCAGTCTGGGTTTAGACGAGGCTATGGATGCTCAGATGCACTTCTAAAAATTACCGATGACATTATAGTGGCAAAGGATGCAAGTGAGTATACTGTATTAATATTGTTGGACTTCACTCGTGCTTTTGATACAAAGTGCAAGTCCATCACTACCTTAAAGATAGGCAGCAGAGGGTGGTCTTAAGTGGCAAATCATCAATGTTCATGAATATTTCATCCGGAGTACCTCGAGGTTCCGTGTTTTTCCCGCTGTTGTTCATCATATACACAAGTCAATTAGCTTCAACTTTACAACATACTGAACTACATCTTTAAGCTGATGATACGCAGTTCAAAAGAGAAGAGGTGCGGGCAACTTGTGCGAAATTCAAAATTGACCTCAATAAATTTATAAACTCGGCCACAGATCACTGTCTGATGAACAATGCAGATAAATCAAAGATGTTATTTGGTCCTAAGCAGCACTGCGATAATGTAAAATAATATATTCAAATACAAATTGGTAATGTAGACATTCCCTTATCAGAACAAGCTAAAAGTCTCGGAGTTGTACCTGATTGTGATCTCAGGTTTAAGTCGCATATAAACGAATTGTTACAAAAATACGCTGCCATGAAGCGGATTTATGTTAACAGAAATTATCTTTCTAAAAAACCAAAATGATTCTATGTGAGAGTCTGGTTCTATTAATTCTAAATTATGTTGATGTTGTATATGGTCCCTATTTAATATCTGTGTATAAACAAAAAATTCAAAAAGTGCAAAATTATTGCTTGCTATGGCATATGCACGCCAAGCAGAGTTTCACACAAATTATATGATGTAGGGTGGCTAAACATGTATAACAGACGGGTATTGCGCGCGGCTTGTTTATATCATCGATTGCTAAACAGCCCCTATATCTTTACAATAAAATAAAATTTCGCACCGATGTACCCACTTTAAATGTAAGATTTAAGGGACTACTGTCTCCTCCTATGTTTCACCATGGATTTTTCAACGAAGTTTCACCTACCAAATTTATAGTGTGTACGGTGGTTTTTTGCAAGAAATCAAAACATCTAATTTTGTAAAATTCAGGAGCCATGCCAAACGGACATTATTTAGCAGGCAGAGCTGATTATTCTATGGACAATGCAAGATTAATATTTATTATTATTTTCGTTTAGTGTATGATATGTTATTACTAGTGCGGTTATACTCGCTTTATGTGTTGGGTGGAATGTAGTATTATCTAATAGGGTTAAGTGGAAGAACAGATGTGTGTCACATCAGTGGCGGACATCTGAACTTCGCCCTTCGCCAAACTCTTTTATTTATACAAACGTATGGTTATTGGTTGATGTTTGGCAAATAAAGACGTTTATTATTATTATTATTATTATTTTCTAACCTTTACTTTTTGCAAAAATTCATGTATGTGGGTAAACGGTTGGTTTTAGATACCATATATAAACTAAAGTTGACCATGGAATCCAAATATGCAATAAATCACAGGGGTTCGATTTAAGAAAATACTAACCCAACATGGCTCACCCAGTATAAATGTTGCAATTCAAGTAAAAATATTTTTAGTTTGTAGCCTTTGGGGGCGCCCAACATAATCCAGTGCTATACTCGTATTTTAAAAACCCACTATCACCCGTCCACGCATTCTTGATTGACCCATCCTGTATTCTGTGACAAAAACATAAAATATGCACCAGTGCAAAACTATAGTTTTACCGAAAAATAAGAACGTTATGAGGCTCCTACATCTCAGTGGAAAGTTTTGGCAGATAACCCAAGACTGAATCTTTCCCATGCCTGTATCTAGGCACTTCTTTCAATACATCTCAAGCTAAGCCCATTATTTAAGGTACCTCACTAACTTCTAGACAATCCCTCCAGCTTGTGATATGGTTAAGCCTACGGTGGATATTCTTCACTTTTAACAATACTATGATAGACTGATAGGTATATTTGAGATACTTTTTTGCTCAAAATCTCCATATTTTTGAAGAAACTGACATGTTGATAAATCACAGACTTTACATTGGAACTAAAACCTACTAATGAGTTTCATACTAGGCATTAGTATTATTAAAAACCGCAAAAATACTTCAGTAATAATTGAAATTTCGTCTATGGTTGCTTTAGTTCTGCGGCCGGCGACAAGGTCAGGGACTGTAGTATGTTTGGTGTGGTCCGGGTTTGCCTGGGCCAGACATCAGAAAAAATTGATCGATTTTTTGTGAGAACGAAGACGAAATCGGGTTACATTGCGTGTTCGTTTAATGCCGCAATGAATTTGCAGATTGTGCTCAATTTTTTTGTTGAATACCGGGTATTATGTATAGCGAAGACTTCAATAGTTTGCTTAGCATACATAATCTAAAGATACTTTGGTTTCTTCGCCTTTGTATTGAATCAGTTGATTCTCATATTGTTTGGTGAAATTATTCATGATAAGATGTTTCATGTCAACAACTTAATTATTTACCTATCAGGTGCTGAAGTTATGCATTGTTTTTGCATATTTGTTGTGTCCAATTTTCTTTTTTTTTTTTTTGGAGACAACTGCTCTTTTGGGATGACCACCAATTCATAGTCACTTTACTTACTTGGTGCTGTCCTCACGCTACCACGATAATTACTGGTTATCTACTTCTGAAAACGTTCAACTTGCAACGTGAGAATCCATATCAAGCACAACAAAGGTTTTTTACTGAATTCGATCAACGTATGTCACATTTTAGCTGCTCACATATTTGAAGCTTAACAAATACATCATAATTCATTTTTATCTTGATGGAATATATGTAAGTATAGTTCAAAGGCAGTCAGTAGTCACAGCGTTAACAAGCCTTAGGCCTTAGAGTAACATCTGCAGGGATTTAACTTTGATGTGGGTGGCAGGACATTCAGGAAACGCAGGAAATGAAAGGGTGGATGAGCTCGCAAGGAAAGGATCATCCACACCCTTTACAGTCCCAGAAGCTGCCTTGGACTGCCAAAAAGCACAATAAGGAACCAAGTCAAAGAATGGGAAAGAAAGCAGCACAAGGAATTTTGGTACTTAGTGACTCAATATAGACATGGGAAAGAATTTTTCCAGGGACCATGTACAAATACGGCGGCGAAATTGCTCTCAATGCGTAGAAACCAACTCCGTGTAGTTACAGAATCAGCCTTACATGTCTTGGGTGAATGCGCGGCGCTAGATCAGAAAAATCATCAACTCTTTGAGAGACCAAAACTAGAACCGAGGGAGTTTAGAACAGTACCGACAGAAAAACACTACTGATGGATTGGGTACAGTAAATTCGAGGAGCAAGGTACAATAAGACCAAGAAGCTGCAGTGCCATCGGAGACTTTGGTCGGACTTCAGTTTCGCCGTATATTGGTATATAATAATAATAATAATAATAATAATAAGTAATAATAAATGCCTTTATTTCCAAACAGTTCTCAAAAAAAAATATCAGAGAAACATGAGTATTAACAAAAAAAAGGAAAATAAAAAAAAATAAAACAAATGTCGACTGTCTGAAAACCGCAAGGGGGAGTTCACTATCTAGTGCTCTTCCACTCATGCCTTGAAATTGTAAGAAACATTATGCCAGTAAATACATCCATCAAGCATATACAATGATCAATATGAACAGCATGGAAGGTTTTTAAAAATAAGATAGAAAAGTGAGAAACGTGGTTAGTAATATCATAAAGACACATATATACAGTATGTTTCAGTGAGTATTACACAGCTGGGGTAGCATAGGGAGTGTACATGGTAGGACCGGCTTGATGTTGCGATTTGACGATACGTTAATTAATGGTATTACCGGTCCGAATGATGTCTGATATGGCCAACTGATGGTCAGGGGCTCAAGCTACAGGTCAAATCCCTTCATTAAGCAGGCCTCATCAAACCAGTGTTACCATTCATACAGCATATAATGACCGGCTGCGTAATACTGGTGGTACCATACTGTATGACATTTGACGGGTCATTTTAGATTTACTAGCACTTAACTCAACATGTACAAGGTGTTTTCAAAGTGGAGTCGTTTATTTTAACTGCTTGTAGGACTCGCGAAACGGAGTTGATATACCAGAAATCACCTATATAAAAGTTTCTTAATAAAAGAAATAGTAAAAGATTAAAAATGCAAAAAATAAGGATGTTATTACACAGATTTTTTGATATCCTCGGGAACTGGCGTGTAAAATCTAGAGCTTTTTCTTTATTACTCTTATCGTTTATCTAAATTTAGCGAACTTTTTGTGTTATTTTATGGTTTTCGGTACTAGTCTTTGATCTGATCAGCTGAATCAGTCTTTTGATAATGCGTATACTTTAATTTGTCTGATTATTTTGTGAGAAAAAATGATTACGAAAAGAATGAACCAGTAGACATAATTCTAACATACGGAGAGTTGCCAACGAAATGCAGCCGCAGGAGAAGAAATGGATGTTTGTAATTTTAGTTATTAGACTTCGTGACACCTGCTCTACCTGAAATGTTACAAATTGACGAAGACATTTTAGAAATGGTCGAACACAACCGAATATGAGTACTAAAGCCGTAGCAGCTCAAGTTGAAGATTTCATGGTAACGAGTGGAATACAGTACGACAAGAATACTATATTATCCTTATAATTATCATCGGATACAAGCGTTAGAACCTGAAGATCATCTTAAAAGAGTTGAATTCTGCCAGTGGCTTTTAGAACAGTTCTGAAGAAATGAATATTTTACGAAATTAAATTTGTGAGCAGGAGTGCACAATTTCCACAACAATATGTTTGGGCAGTAGAAAATCCGCATGCTGTAAAAATAACACATGCTTTCATTAAATGTTTGGGCTGGCGTGGTAAATGGCATGCTTAATGGGCCCTACTTTTTTCTACCTCGCCTGACCTGTGAAATTTATTTAAATTTTCTTCGACACAATCTGTCGCAATTATTAGTTAGATGTTCCTCTGAATGTGAGATAGAATACGTGTATATGGTACCTACATGATGGGGCTCCACCACAGTTTAGACGAGAAGTTCATGAATATCTAAATGAGTTTCCGAATAGATTGATAGTGCGCAA